GTGCTGCTGAAGCCTTGCATTTTCTGTACTTTCTGGTTTATTTCTAATCAGCTTACCACTCTTTATAATTTTCCCGACGTATTTATAGACTGAAACTTGCTAACTCTTTATTCCCCTTCAACCATTAGACTTAACTCCCTCTCCAATTTCCGTAATGCTGCCTGGATTGTTTATATCTCGCGAAGTTTTCAATTAGATGTACAAACAGTTGATTTCTGTTTTGTGTATATTATCCTTTAAAGTAAAAACTCAGTATTCTGTAGGCCTAATTTCTACTCAATAAGGTCAAACAAATATCCCGGTTCTAAACAATGGAACCTATCGTTAGAAAAAGGACTGTTTTCAATGACACTTTAATAATGAATGTTAGTATGTGGCATATCCAATGCTTCAAAATAGTCTAACTAAATTACCATGTGAAAAAGATTTTATTCATGAAGTGATATGTTTCTATAGTTTGATTTGTAAGGATTAGTTATGTTTTACTGGTTGATCACGGATTAATATCAGTTAGAGAACCATTGAAAACCAGGGAGTACTGGGCAGCTGCTGTTTCATCCTAGTTTGGGAATCATCGGCAGTACGCTGATGCTCACTAGTGACTTGCTACAGGTTGGAGTTTCCTGAGTTCTAGTGAGAAGTCGTGACCAGTGAGGTCCAATTAGATGTCACATGTGTGAATGGATGTCCCACCAACGACAATGGTTGGTATCGCGGTAAATCACGAATTAGTAGAAGTTAGAATTCACAAGCCATTGAATCGGGTCCCAGTGGCTGAATGGTATACGAGCTTGCCTTGTAACCGGAAGGTCCTGGGTTCGAATCCCAGTGAGTGCGTACTGCCGATGATTCCCAAACTAGGATGAAACAGTAGCTGTCCAGTACTCCCTGGTTTTCAATGGTTCTCTAACTGATATTAATCCGTGATCAACCAGTAGAACTGATATGTGTTACTAAGCGCAGAAAACTAAGATCTAAGGCAGTTTGATGACTAACTCATATTATTTAAGACTAAGTTCATTTGCTTCCTAATGTGCAGTAGCGTTCTATCACTTAGCAATTTTACTGTACATCTGATTAAAAACAATGAGGAAATATTGTGAATAAAAGGACACAATGATAAGGATGTAGATATTAACTCTCCACCTAGGCTACGCCATGGAAACTGTATTTTTTGGAGCCTTGGTAGTTACAGTGTACTGGTTCCACATAATAAAAAGTAATTTAGAATGCTTTAGATTTCTGATTTGTCAGGTAAGATTTATAATACAACAACAAACATAAAAGCTTAGTATTCCTATTAACGGAAGTCTTGATACCATTTCCAGTCCACTAGAATCAGATACAACGCTATCAAAAAAATGTCCACTGGACACCAGTGAAATAATTAAGAGCTTGAAATTCTATCTAGAAAGTAATTATTTTACATTTAAAGGGCGTTTATATAGACAGACAATTGGTGTTGCTATGGGTTCACCAGTCTCCCTAATAGTCGCTGACCTTTTCATGGATAGATTCGAAAATAACATCTTTTCAAGCATACTCTCTAAAAAATATAGTTAACATATGTGGATGACACTTTGGTAGTACTAAAATGAGATCTACACAGTTCATTCCTAGAGAAAATAAACTGTGTATCTCCCAGAATTCAGTTCACTTCGGAAGCAGAATCAGACATCGGTGAACTACCATTTCTAGACTGCCTAGTTAAGAAAAAGGAAAACGGACATTTCAGTATATCCATATTCAGGAAGAAAACCCACTCCAATAAATATTTAGACTTCAAATCATCACACCCCATCAGCACAAAGATTTCAGTTGTTTCAAGTCTTCTTAGACGAGCACACTCTCTGATAACGGATGAGAAAGAAAATGCAGAAGAAATATCAAACATTACTGAAACTTTCAAGCAAAACAACTACCCAAGGAACTTCATCAACAAAATCAACACAGACATTAAGTATGGCCGAAAACACATTCCGAAAACATGGACCTCAACAATCATCATTCCATATAGAGCAGAGACGTCAGACGATATCATAAGAAATGTACACCCTAGAGCATCTGTTCGATCACTAAGAAATCCGGTTGACCTAGAAAAACTTGAAAAATCATCAGGCATAGGTCTGCATGCTATAGAATCAGGCCACAAAATTGATTTTGACAATATTGAAATAATCGAGTAAAAGCATTTTAGAAGTCATCGTCGGAGCATCTGCACAAGAAGCCGACATGTTAACCTGAGACCGAGCACTTCAGTCCAATCAATCGACGGGAAAATCAAAAATTCAATGAAATAATTAATATGACCCGTTGCACAAGAGGTGGCTCTCGTGGCCCAAGTGGTCTAGTGGGTAACTCTTTGGCGTTTGAAACTATGGGCACTGAGTTCGAGCCTCGGTGGGAACATCATCACTCACTGAGAAATGCAGGTACATCCAGCTGACGAGCCCCAAATAGGACGAAATGCGTGTTATCCTAGATTCCACTGCTAGTCACCATCCACCAATTAGATGTACTATTACCTTTATTATTTGGTTTAGTGATCTTCATTTTTATTTTGACTTTCAATATGTCCTTTTAACTTGACCTAAGTCTATTTTCTCACCCTTTAGCTCTTTGTCATTTATGTTTTGAGATTTAGTAAACTCTGGTTTGTTAATACTTTGATAAAGCCACTAGCATTAAACAGCAAAACATCAGTGCAAAAACAATATCGTTTTGTTTTTCATTCATGGGGAAATACAAAGACCTTTATTATAATGAAGCAGAAAAGCAGTTCAAAAAATAATAATGAATATAGATCAATAAAAAGTTGAAAACGATGAAGGTAGACAATTCATGTGTATCAAGAGGATAAAAGAAGTGGATGTTTATTCTGAAAACACATCTTTTATTGTTATCATTTCGCTTCAACACTTTTCAGCTGCGTGAAGTTGCCAAGATTGTTCAATCTACAAGAATAAAAACAACACTTTTAAATGTAAACATTGCAAATTACTTCATATTAGTAATAATAGACCAAAATCGATAGAATGCGTTAGCTAATCAACCGTTAGTCATTAAAACTTGAAAATCTCTGACGCACACGTGTTGGTTATCGTATTGAGTTAGTCAGGTGTAACAAGCACCGTTCTCCTCAATGTACTAAGCCTTTTTTTTGTAAAATAAAGCTTTCTTGCCTCTGTTTGAAAATTATTTCAGGCATTTAAAAATCATATGCTTGATAATTATCACCTGTATTGCGAACACTGAATACTACCAACATATTCATACATTGTGTTCAAGTCATAGTAATTAATCATCAACGCGGAATGAATAGCTTTTTAACCGCGCAAACGCTGATAAAGCCACCATATTCAAACAATAAACTATAACTGAAGACAGACAGCTTCTGTGACAACCTGATCGACCATATAAGTAATATATTATTATTGTTCCCTTGGGTTCCTTGTGGAACATAGAGCTTCAACTGCACGTCTCCACTTGCTTCTGTCTTCCTTCTGCTGTACTCTTCACCTGCATACATGTTAGTCCATACTCTTTCGACTCCTCTTCACACGATCTCCTGCATGTGACCCTTGCATTGACGTCCCACTCGCCGCTTCCCTTTCAGCTTGGTTCCACTCGAGCAATGGCCTGACGTGCGCGCGATGTCACCCATCGATCTCCTCAACGAGTGTCTAATCCATCTCCCTCCACTTTCTCCTGCATATTTGTTGGTTGGCGATTGGTTCTTGTTTAGTTTCTTCCCGTAGTTTCTTGTTGAACTATATAAGTAATATATGTATATTCTGCATACTTTATGCAATACCTTAGACAAACTGTTTCATTATTCCTTGAATATGCAAATGACTTTCTCAAACTGAGTTAAATAATTTACAAATTAAAAATTATATCCCTTTTTACAACTTACACTTAGAATATGATGCTATTACGAGTTGGTTAACACATAGATGTCCAAACCAAGTCCAGATTTTATGTTCCCTGTTTTCAGTTTCCCTTTCCCAATGAATATATATATATAGTAGTACGATGTTTCTCTATACTATATACTTTACCCAATATCTTGATTAAGATTCTCAGTATGATCTACCACTCTACAGGTAGTGAAAGTCACAGACTCATTCCATACTAAACACACTGCCTTGTGCGTATCCCAGCAAAGGCTATGATCCAATTACCCATATAATAAATGTGTTTAACTTCTGGAATTGTCTTTACATAGGACTTTTAAATAAATACACTGAATTTCGCGCACAGCGTTTTAACCACGTTCGAACCAAGATCGACGAAGTAAGATAGGTGTTCATCTACTCTGAAGTCATTGTAAGGAGATCCACAACACTCAGCGAAAGGAGTAAATTCTGAATTTTCCACACGAATATCAAGTCAGCGCTTCCATATGTTTCAAAGACCTGTCATCTCTAATAGGTTGCAGAGTCTCATCAATAGCTACCTTTACCCTATACTCAGGATCAGAAGGCCGATCAGAGAGAATAAGCGGGCAGAGAATCACTTATCCCGCGATAAATATGCAGGAGTAACTAAAGGTAGATTTGACATACACTCAAATATAACAAAAAATGACAAACAGTCTAACAGAACACGAAATAGAATCGACAGATTGAACACCTGAGGGTAACTTGAGGAGATTATATGAGAAGGGAATAAAAATCTGCAGAGAATCCTGGAGTCAGCTGAAAGTGATGACAGAGGACCGAGTTCAATACGTGAATATGTCACTGCAGACCCATGTTGCTATCTGATTGCAAGGAGAATAATTTCTACAGTGTTCCGTATGACACGACAACATAACAGCGGAACCGTAACTAACACACTCATTTTTGCCTTCAACTACACTTTTAAAAATCCTGTAAAATCCCTAAAAAAGATATTGTAGTAATGCGATCGCTAAACAATAATAACAAGGTAAGTTATTTAGCACGTTTTAACAAATAATTATCGACATTCTAATTTCCGATTGAAACTTACTCTGATCATGTAGGGTTAAAAGAATGCCGATGACGAATGTATACTAGTTTATCAAAGAAAAAATGAAGGATGAGAAATAACAAAATACATGTGATTACAATAAATTCCGCATAATAATTAACTAAATTTTAGCCTATAAACTTAGAATCTAATTTCGTTCAGTAAACACTAACTCCTATCACTGGTATTTTGCGTGTGCGTCGGTGGCACAGTGGTTAGGACACTCACCGACCATGCACATGGTCCGGGGTCCGATCTCCTGTCGACGCATACCCGATATCTATGGTTGGCCTGCAAAATTCGGGCTATCGACATCACATGTTGAAAATTCCATACTTGTACCAAAAATACAGTGTGGAATCAAGCTGTAATCAAAAATATAATATAGTTCTTATTTTGCCTAGTTTTCAGTTCACCATTCCTTTAAATTTGAAGTGATTTCTGATTCTGTTGATTCTAATTATTATTATATCATTTAATTCCTAGAGGAACATAAGGCTTCAGCTGCGCGTCTCCACTGCGTTCGGCTCTCGGCCAATTTTTTCACTCAGCTCCAAGTCTGCCCTTACGCTTTCATCTGCTCTTCACATGACTTCGTCCAAGTCACCCTTGGACGATCAACTCGCCATTTCCCTTTCGGGTTATACTCGAGGGCTTGTCTAGTGATGTCACTTGATGGTTTCTTCAGAGTATGGCCAATCCATCTCCATTTCTTCCTGCTTATTTGTTGCACAGTTGGTTCCTGGTTGGTTCGCTCCCAGATACCTTACTATTGCTGATCTTTTCTTGCCGGCCATCTGATCTTGATTATTGAGCGAAGACAACTGTTAATGAAGGTCTGAAGTTTATTTGAGATGCTCTTTTATGACGCGCCAAGTCTCTGATTCAATCGTATAGTAGCACTGACTTCACATTGGAGTTGAAAATCCGGATCTTATTTTTGATGCTGAGCGCTGTTGACCTCCACACAAACTTGAGCGTAATGAAAGCTTGCCTTGCTTTTCCGATTCTGTCTTTGATATCCTGGTCAGTTCCGCCTGTAGTTGAAATGATGCTTCCCAGGTAGGTGTGTAGGTAAAGGAGGTTGTTTCTTTCAGGTTCCTCCCATTTATGCTGGCAGATTGTTGTTTGTTGTCGTTTCTGTTGATGTTGGCCAGGAATCTTCATCACCTCTGTTTTATCCATGTTCACCTGAAGTCCTACCTTTGATGTTTCTTCTGCCAGCTTGTTGCTTTTCACTTGCATATCTTCCAGTTTGTGGGAAATCAGACACATCATCGGCGAAGTCCAGATCCCCTAAGTTTTTTGTGTGAGTCCATTTTATGCCTGTTTCCTGTTAGCTACGGTTAATAATTTCTCGGAGAAAAAAATGATTTTCATGTCAAGTTGTAATAGCTGAAATGATTATTCGCCTTCAGTTTACTGGAAATTGTTGATGTTGGTGGTGGTAGTGGCACAGTGTTAAGACAGCAAACACTTATACTTACAGTGAGGGATGAAAAGCTTTGTGTGCATTAAAAGTAAAGAGTATCATGGGATACTGATGTTTGATAAACTGAAGTATATCACAATAATTACTAAGTACAACCAACTTTTTATGGTAATTCCATTCTATAACTACAATCATATTTATCGTCATGTTTAAATCGGACTGTGAAGTAAAGTATAATTTATCTACACTTGTTCAATAAGTCATTATCATATTTGTTGTCTGTAAACGAAAGAAGTACCACTATTTTTTTCTTACTCTTTTGGGGACAAGACACATGCGTCAGATAGATTTGAATATGTGTTATCCCAAAACATCTGTTTCTTTGTAAGTTAAAATACGTAGATAATTAAATTGATAGTTGTATATCTCTGACGACTTATTATCTTAAGAAAAACAATCTCACAATAAACGTAACTACAGAGATAACCGCCAGATAGAATCGTGTGCTAAAATAATCGCAGATATTTTATTGCACCCGCCGGGGTTACAACCCAGGAGCTCGTAGACCACTCATTCACTGGGCATTGGTAGCCCAGTGACAGCGTATTCACCGACCATGCACCTGCTTTGATCCAACGCACTCGTTAACCCGGTTAACCACTGGCAAGCCCGACAAAGATGTAAGGTGAAGCTACCAACCCCATCCCGTAAAAAAATAAACGTCACTACTAAGATAAATCCATAGCTCAAATTTGAAGCCTTATGTTCCTCTGAGAATGTAAAAGATTGAACAGAAAATGAGTTCTATTTAGAGTGAATCAATTCTGGAATTCATTGAGAAAACGAATTTTACTGAGCTCATTTTCTTACCACCTTGTTTGATTATTATCAATCAGGATTTGCTCGCTACACAAATGTGCTAATTTCTGAACTTGTCTGTAGGGAATTTTCGATAAGCTAATAAATAAACTGGTCTTTTTTGAACAATGGTAAATTTATGGAGGATTTAATCATGAGCTGACATCAGTTACAGAACCACTGGAAAACCTGGGAGTACTGGACAGCTGTTTCGTCCTGTTTTGGGACTCTTCAACGGCACGCGTTCACCGAGGTTCGAACCCAGAACCTCCTAGTTACAAGGTGAGCTCGTAGACCATTGAGCCTCTGGGACCCTATCTAATGGTCCTTGAACTCTAACTTCTGCCAATTGACGATATAGCGCGACCATTTCGCAATGTCTTCTTCGATGAGTTACTGCCTCATCTTCGACCTGCTGTACCCTACTGGTCACGGCTTCCCACTGAAACCACAGGTTAACTGCCTGAATAGGATCGGTCGCTAGTGAGCATCAGATTAATTTTCAAGTATTGGTTTTGTGGGGAATTTAACTTTAAGTTTTTTGTCTTTGGTTCTGTCGAAAAATCTAAATAACTCATCTGCCCTCCGATTTTCTTGAAATGCTTTTAGTGGACTGACATCAGTGAAAAGTGCATCACAAAAGCACGTTTACAAGATTCAAAAGCACATTTTTACAAATTAATGAGAAGTAATACATCAGCGGTCAGAACTCAATAATACATCATAGAGCTCACTTTCGAGTAATCATGACTGTGGAAAACGGTCATCTCATGCATAATCAAGTAAATCACAATCCCAGACTAGAATATAACATTCCCCTGGGAAAGTAGACTAATTAACTAATGACATGACGGTAAAGTTAAGCAGTAAGTATTTAAATGAAATGAATGCACCAATGATTATCAAACAGCCAATTGCATAGTCCCAACAAATTTGTGCCAGAGAATATCCATAATAAAGAGAAAAGTTTTAAAAACAGGTACCCTGTTTAACATTGCTGTCTATTTTTAGCATTTCTTTGAGAATAGGGTGCGTTTTACTTGATTTCACTACCTTTATCTGATTGCATGTTAGAAGGTCATTTGTGAAATCGTTTCCTTTAATCACTGTTCTCTGACTAAGCCAACGTAACTGCAGAAGGGTGATTAAAATCAAGAAGTTAAATCTCACTCATTCATATGACAAAAGAATGAATTCCTTAGCAAATAGAAAGTAAAGTGCGATTCATTGACCACCCTATTTTCATAGCAGTTTTCAATGAGTACTATGGTTGAAACACGCAGACCATCAGTTCAAATCTCAGAGCCAACCATATTTTTATTTAAAATCTCATTCAGTCTGCTTTACAGTAAGAACATTCTGTTTTATCAGCACTATCTACTATAGGTAAATCAGCTGAAGGCTTCCAGGGTTCTGTTGCTCACATCATAAGCAAATCTTTTTTCTCATATCCAACGTTTTGTTATGTCAAAATTAAATAAAATGGCAAATCATCATAACGTAAAATAACTCACCATGCGGTAATCGACGATATCTCAATATGCGTGGATTGTGGTCAAGAGCTTTAAAAGAATGCATAAGATTCTAGTTATCAGTATCTGCTGTATTAATATATTACTTTAATGTTATAAATGGAAACGAAATTGATGAATTTGGTTAGAGTTTGCCGTAAGCTTTCACATTTCTATGGCGTTAGCTCGATAAGCGGCTTATGTTGTCCACTCTTGACTGTCTTCATTAATTAAAGCTTCTGCTCTTTTAATAGTTGAAACGACTAAAATAGTCCTATCTGACATAAAGAAGGAACTTTCTCAAATGACGGTGAAAACAGACAAGTGGAAAAAATACTTGATTATGTTTTCATTACAATTTTGTACCCAGGACTGTCTCGTCTGAACTTTTGACTACAACTATTTGAAATGAGTATGCCTGCTTTAATCATGAGTAATAGAAATTGTTCTTTGCAGAAACATTTGAGTAATCATCACGTTCATGAGTTTCTCCACAGTTCTTCAAAAAAATAACTGTTCTCTGGTTTATCATCAAGTAAATTAGCACATTTACATCAACTGAGAAAAGCATGCAATGAGATTCCTATCGGTTTCAATATATTGATACCTATTTTCACTTTCTGAGATAATGGGGATGATCTGTATCTCATTTAAGGATGTTTCTCTTTACATGGATGTGTTATTTGGAACGGATTTTTCAACCATGAAGTTTTCGAAATCGTACTAGACAATATCTTAAGCGTTTACTTCGGCGTCCAGTGAAATTTCCAGATTTCGCCATAACTGCCCTTCTTGATCATCCTGGGTGTAATTGATTGCACTTAGAAGTTTTAATATCCATAAAAGATTCCGAAAACCTTATTCATCAATGAAATATGTGTTATCCAGGAAGACGATGAAGGTTTCTCAGTTGAACTGTGCGGCTCATAGAAGACAGTCACATCAGAAACTTCATTTTTATTTTTTATTCAAGAACCTTGTCGTATATTTTTTTAACAGTAGTTTTTTTTATTCCTTCACGTTTTCAGTGGAACATAGGGCTTCAAGCTAGAGGCTTGGCGTTTCTGTAACAGTGTTTATTTTGACAGGATGGGGTTGCTAGCCTCATGCCCAACCTTTCCTCTTTACCAGTTCTATTACTGGCTTAGCGAAGTGAAGGAGTGCATCGGCCGGGGATCGAACCCCCAACCATGTGCATGGTCAACGAGCGTCCTAACCACTGTGCCACCGACGCACATTTTCACAATATAATATCTATGTTTATTATACATATAAATAATGGTTTTGGAAACAATAAAAGAAATATATTTAGAGAAATCAGAGGTTAACTGAATGTCTTCCCATTAAACACTGAATGCAATAATAGAGTAAGTCAAGTGACTGAATTACTACAGCAAGTGAAACCCTAAAAATAGATAACTGTCTAAGTATGGAAAACACTACTCAGTATTTGATGGTTACCACCGTAAGTTATTCAGAGTACACTTCCACTTTAATCAAACGAATAGATTTTAGCTTATTAATCATTTGCATAATATATATTAATTCACTTACTGTATATTGTAAATGGTTGTTCAGTTACTGTGGAAGGCTTAGATTCAGCTGCAACTTTAAATAAAATAACAATCCTGTGTATATAATGAATACAAATCACATTTAAAATACATTTTAAGAAGTAGAAGAAGACGGTTCATACAACATCATATAACAAATTCATGCTTTACTCGTCTATGCTGAATTCTCAGTCCTTGTAGTGTATGTATTGAAGTATTCAAGATGAAAGCATTACTTTCGAATCCACTGTACCACGTCAGGATGATTTTTTGTCTCATTGGAAATTCCACTAACTGATAGGATAATGAAAGTGTTATTTTTCACATGGAAAAAGTCGTCAAATTAGTCTAGTTAAAGATGAAATGATCGGAATTTGCTTATCTTTGTTTTCAACATAGACAACGGAAAGACAGTCTTCAAGATCTTGATGCTTACTCAGCCGTCAAGCAGATCTGAGTACTTAGATACGGGTTTCCAGAGGCTGAATTGTTTGAATCGCTGTTTCACCGCAAAACAACAGCCGCCCAGTGTTGAGACCACTGTTGTCTTGCTACCAAGCACTACTCCTTGGTGTGAATGATTTTAAGGAAAGTTACATCAATTATTATTCATTTTGTATTCCTCTTATAACAGTTATCTTTGGAATGAATTCTTACAACTCGACGCAAGTGTTACTTTATAGCTGTGAACAGATGTCGATTAAGCTTAACAATTTTATTGGAAAATCATACAATATTAAAAATCTGCATTCAGACTTACCAATTTGGTCAAAACGCATATGCCAGTATAAGACAATTAATCCAAAGTTGAAATAAAGGAACTATATTACCATAATAACGGTTAAATATAAACTGAAAATTAAACCTTACTTACTGTATTATTGAACATTTTATAATTTGTTTAATTAAATTTTTAACCATGTAAATTGTTCGATTTCCACTAGTTTATACTGTGAGGCTTAATTTAATTACTGTCCTTTTTATATTCCTTATTCCTAATGACCTAATCCCCTTTGATTATTAACATTTATATATTGTTTTACTGCCAGTAATGAGCTTTAAAAGAGGGTTAACACTTTCTCTCCTTTTTTGGTGTGATTAGGTGTTTATATACCTTCTATTTTAACAACAAATATCAACCAATCTTTTTCTGCATTCACCGTGAAAATTTATATCTGTCGTATTGGTGAATCACACTCTAGATGACAGATAATGTCATATGTCAAGATAAGTGTGAAGCTCACTTTCTATGCAAACAAATAATAAAATCCCTTGACTGCAGTCTAGTCTATTGTGTTAGATTTTCTCTCCCGGTTACTCACAATTGTTTTGCCTTAGAGTAAAATCAATACTTATCTGAATTTATGTAATAATTTCCATTATTTTTTATACATGACTGATACATCTCTGAAATGAAATCCTTCATTCAGAAACGTATACAGTTCAGAATGATGATTTTGCACAGTTTCTGTTAAAAGTTGAAAAAAAAGAGTGACACATTGCATATACCCATTGTTTTAATGAGACTTTTGGCGGGAAACAAAAATGTGTGCGTTTTAACTCAAGCTTAGTCTTCTCCCTTTGTAACTACCTGATTGCCATACTAATTATTTGGTTACATCCTTTGAAATTTACAGGAATCTTCCATCTTTGTCCAAAAAATACTGAATAACCCAACTGGCTAAACCCATAGTGGCGAAAAACCCAGCTGAAACAAAACACGTGGACTGTCTCTGGATTATATTTTGTTAAATTTATGGAAAGTAGACCTAATCTTATTCGCAAGTACCTGTAGCCTCCTATTACTCATTATCCTTAATAACTGTAATATATTGTTTAAGTTCCTCTATTGCATCGGGTATTTGTTTTAATATTTTGTAAAACTTTTCAGTTTATTGTAAAGTCCTCCACAAAACGAAGTTTTTGGCTTAATTAAATTTATTCACGACAGTATTTGCACAAATCAAGGGACCAAAAGTGTCAGTAGTAAGTATATCTAATGTAAATTCAATAAATAAAAATATATAAAAAGGAAAATATATTCTACGTTTTATTTTGTTATGAATTTCATTCAGAACAGAGAATAATTGTCATCAACTCAAATCATTTTTTTTTTAAAAAAACCCTGAACAAAAAGGGTGTAAAGACTCAGTTTGTGTGGTGACAGAAAATTCAATGAACACGTTCTATGAAATATAGAGTAATTTCTATCACATCATACTGAATCGAAAGCTTTTATTTCGTGAAGATAAGAAGGTCTGGTCACTCTATAATTTCCTACATTATTCATTAATAACTGCACGCTTTGATATATTTACATCAATAGGACAGTTATATTTAGGCGTTTCTGTTTTTATTACTAATTTAATCGATATATGACAGTGAGATATTGCTTAAACATGAAGATAAAAGCCGCTATACAGTCTCCACCAGCTTCTAAAAATTATAAGTCTCTCTACATAGGCTATACTATGATCCTGTGAAGCTAAATAAGCTCTTATGATAAATTCTGATGGAATGAATTAGTGGAACTATAATTAAAATTCACAATTTGCAAATTGATTCATGATTTGTAATCCACACAGTTGGAGTATATGAAATTTGACTACATTTTCCTTAGGAAGTCAAAATTAATTCAGATCACAATACATGTGGTCTGCTTGGTATCATAATTCACAGTCAAGAAAGCAAGCATAATTGCAGATGGTATGTACTACTTAATGCTCGATACGAACAGTCAGATGCCTCTCACATAAACCACTAGTGCTTGCTAGCCAAATCGAACAAGGGGCCTAAACACCGGAGGATCCTTCTGGCCGTTTACAGTCAAGCTTGTCAGTGGTGTACCCGGTTTGCCCCAGCTCAGAGAGCCGAATCACTTTGAACCATCCAAATTTTGGCTAGCCAATTCAGTAAACTGGTAATACTGTCAGTCTAATTCGCAACTTATGCATCGGTGGTTCAGCGGTGGAACGCTGGCCGACTATGCATATGGTCACTGGTTAGAGTCCCGACCGGCTCACAACTTTACCTTCCTTAGCCAGTTACAATCCTGACAAAGAGAGAAGGTCGGGCATGGGACTAGCAATCACACCCCGAAGAAACACGACTGAAGCTTTAAAGCTCTAGCTTGAAGCCCTATACTCCACTTAGAACGTAAAGCAATAAAGTAAGAAATAAATAATTCGCAGTTTAAACAGTTCAATAGTTTCCTTAAAAAACCGAAATTATTCAGATCATAATTCATGGTCTGCTTGATGCCGTAAATGACAGTCAAGACAGCAAGCATAAATCCATGACTTTGTATGCTAGTGATCTGAGTTAAACAGGGTAAACCTTTTATGAGGTCAGCTCAAAATGAGAAAAACAGCCATCTGCTTTTTATGTTATAATTAGAGATGCACATTTCAAAAATTTTCCGAAAGAGTTCCAACTCTGTGAATCAAATTTGGCTGAAGAATTTAACAAATTCTTTAAAATAATGAAATAGCTGACTGCACTGTTAAAAGCAGGTTAGTTCATGTGCACAACCACATTTAACTTTACAATATATAAGTACTAACATTTGAACAGCTTGTTCTTCTGTTTCCACTTCCGAAGCCTGTTTTGCACTATGAATAAAGTCCACAAGGAATACTGAAAAAAATTCTGAATAAAGTCATATATTTAGAAAGGATTGTCACCAAAGGAGGGTAGAAATTATTGCTGACTACTATACTCATAGGAATAAGTTTGGTGATTGCAGTTTTGGAAGAGCTATGCTGATTTTAGCTGATGGTTAAGGAATACCAGTCAACCCGAGAAAGATTATTCCAGAATTTGATAAGCCAGCCTTCAGAAGCACAGCGAAAGAAAGCTGTATGGAAGAAGACGAATACCTTAAGGCTAATTTTAATACACAAAATAAACTCAAATCATAAAGCAGGTATAAACAAACCACTTTCACAAAGAGATCTTCAAAGTCTATGTAAAAACAAAGTGAGGGGTATCGAACTGAAGGCGGCAGACGGAGGTTTGACGTAACAATTTAGGTGCGTTAGACGAACTAATGGCTTCCAACAACTTCCCCCATGAAAGTGGTATAGTGTTAAAGCGTCTAGTTCAAACCATAAATAGTTATAATTCTACTCTATTTCTCACTATCCACATTCATGTTTCTTCGACCATCTGAGGAGGTTCCCAACACAATATAGTCGGAGTCGATGAGAAATAAATCAAAGATATATTTATCTGGATTTCATCATGAGCTGACATTAATTAGAAAATCATTGGAAAACCTGTAGGGAGTACTGAACAGCTGTTTCGTCTTGGTTTGGGACTCTTCATCAGTACGCACCCACCACCACGGGCTTCGAACCCAGGACCTTCCGGTTACAGGGCGAGCTCGCATACCATTAGGCCACTGGGCGCGATCCAATGGCCCATGAATTCTAACTTCTGCCAATTCAAGATATAGCGTGACCCCTAGGCAATGTCTTCGGCGAGTATTTGTCCTCAAACCCGACCTGCTGTACCCACTTCGCTTCACTAGTTTTATTCTGTCTGGTGAGCCTATCTTGTCAATGTTAACTTGATTTGTTTGACACTACAGGTGTCACTCTATCATTTCCATGTCTGTGATCATGTGAAAACTTAAAGTTTCCAGTTCGAGAGGCTTCTAACCGAATTTGGTCATGTATTCCCGGACACCAAGTTCTTAAACTCTCAGTTATGATGGCTTTATTTTAGATAGTTCAGGAAATGGATTGGACACTCGTTGAGGAGGCCGGTTGATGACATCGTGCGTCAGGCCGTTGCTCGAGTGGAACAAGTCCGAAAGGGAAGCGGCGAGTGTGACGTCAGTGCAAGGGTGACATGGAGGAGATCGTGTGAAGAGGAGTTGAAACAGTATGCACTAAAATAGATGGATGCAGGTGAAAAGTTTAGCAGAAGACAGAAGCAAGTGGAGACGCGCAGTTGAAGCCTTATGTTCCACTAGGAACCCAAGGGAACAATAATAATAATAATACAATCCCCCAGTTTCTGAGGTTCATATGATTATTTCAGTTAATATCCTGGGAAGTAATGCCTTATAGCCCCCATATTTTGTATCACCTGTCCGGAAAATGTTGTCTGATCAGCTAGAACTTCAGCAACCTTGT